TTTTGGAGCTGTGTATTATGTACATAGTGGCATATTTGATGTTTTATGTAGTAACCAAAAGAAAACTGTACGACTGAATGATTAATGCAGTTTATATTTTAAATCATACAGTTATACTAAAAGTTTATGTTCAGAACTTTTATCGTAGAAAGCTTTGTATACAAGTACTTTTTTTTGTTATAACTGTGCTTTGGCTGCTTCAACTTTATGATAAACGTGCCTTAAGGATTCAGCTATAGATAAACGTGTGAAAGAAGGAAGCTGTTATTTCCATAATTCTCTGTGATGAACCAGTATTTACAATACAAAAGGAAAGTCATACTTGTTTGTAATAGCTGACAAATTTTGTGTAGATTAATAAGTTTGGGGAAGAAAATAATATTTGTAGATTAACATTAAAGAGTAATTGTGTTAGTTGAGGTCTTATTTGTTGGAATTAAATATTAAACTAACTAAAATATATAGTAATTTTCGAAACACCTAGTTATATTAACCATGTGCATACGAAAGGGGTCAAAGTACATGTCAGGAGCTTTTCTACAGTTACATTTAAACTTTAATTAAACAATTTATGTATTTGAACAAGCTTGTCATTAAAGTATTTTATAATCCTATATTTTATGTTATGTAAGTTTTAATTACTTAATTTCAAAAGGAAATATTCAATCTTCACTTCTTCTGTATCAAGTGACACATCTGCAATTCGTACTGCCAATTTTCAGTTTTCTTTCCACCTTTTATATGATATTCTAGTGTCCCATCAATCAGAGACTTGTACTATATGTATTGGCAAGCAAGAACATAACTTTCTAGCCTCCATAAAGTCAAACTCACACACTATGCTCCTCCTACCTCATTCAGAAATGTCAATAGTTCTGTTTGGACTATTCTTAACCAACAGAAAAATAGCAAGTTGATCTTTATAAGATTCTTTAGGGAGCTAGTTTATTTGGTGTTTATAGATAAAGGTTTTCTAGTTTCACAATAAAAAGGATAACGATATTTACGATAAACGTTGTTTATTTACACCAGAAGGGGACACAGATAAACGTTTCAGAATTCTACAGATTCCATCTTCAGTATCTAAAGCAAATTAAAATAATTATACCACACAGAAAGTGAAGGACTAACAAACAATAATACTGTATGTTTAAAAGAAGACTGCATGTTATTCAGTGTTGATGAAAGTTATTTGATGTGGAGAGATTCTTTAATCAGTAATTCAAGATCAATGTTGGCCTTGTAAAAGATCTCGAAATGTGTTTAATTATTTACTGAGGAGTGGTATAATTATTTTATTCTGCTTTAGATACTGAAGATGGAATCTGTAGAATTCCGAAACATTTATCTGTGTCCCCTTCTGTTGTAAATAAACAATGCTTATCTTAAGTATCGTTATCCTGTTTATTGTGAAATTATGTTTTCCTCTGAAGACATCGACGACTTTCCAAAATGTCATTAGTGTTTGTTTATTATTCACAGGCTGTTTCTTCAGTCTGCAGTGCTGTTGAGCAAAATCGTTGATATAAATATTAATTCTACAATTTTCTTTTGTATTTTGGTCTTTGTAGGCAAGAAATAATCTTACCTCAGAGGTGGTTGCAATCAAAAAAGATGTCATTTACTGGAAAGCAATCAGCTGAGGTAAGTAAACACCAGTGAAATTATTTTTTTTAATTAGACGTAAAAAAGGTTCCTTATCAGATTGGTAACTTGAAAAAATTAACTGAATTTTGTTAGAAATATTATGTTTATAATAATTCTATATCATAGAGAATTAATCCTTTCAAGATCCTCTTTAAAAGAGAATATCAAGTTTCACTATTTCTTTCAAGTAAGAACTAAACATCCCATGACATAAATCACTTAAACCTTTTACTAATGCTTATGTAATATAACTGCTTGGTATGATCTAGATGTGTGGTTTTTTTTAATACCATAAAATAGTTTTGATATATTGTTTTTTGTTGGTAAAAAAACAAATTTGTGGCGAAAAATGTTTACCTGTATATAGTTCGTATATACAAGCTAATTATTATTATTTTAACAGTTTTGATGCAATTTCTTTTTTTTTAATGTAACATAATTATACTAGCAAGCAACTTTATGATGTAACAGCAGTACTTTTAGTTATGTTACCATTTCTCTTGTTCTAGCCAAGAATCATATCTCTTTCATCAATTATTGTCGACTGATCTTTAATCTTTACATGTGTGAAATCGTAACTTAGCCACGTTTCTCAGTAAAGTAGACCTGTTGTATCTTAGCCGTGTTGTAACTCGGGTCTTTTGTAACTTAGCCATGTTTCTCAGTAAAGTAGGCCTGTTGTATCTTAGCCGTGTTGTAACTCGGTTCTTTTGTAACTTAGTCATGTTTCTCAGTAAAGTAGACCTGTTGTATCTTAGCCGTGTTGTAACTCGGGTCTTTTGTAACTTAGCCATGTTTCTCAATAAAGTAGACCTGTTGTATCTTAGCCGTGTTGTAACTCAGGTCTTTTGTAACTTAGCCATGTTTCTCAATAAAGTAGACCTGTTGTATCTTAGCCGTGTTGTAACTCAGGTCTTTTGTAACTTAGCCATGTTTCTCAA